CACACACACTCAACAAATCAGTACTGTGTGCAGATTTTAACAGACGACAGTACAATGTTGACATTAGTCAAAGTCAAAAAATCAATTTCATAAGGAAACACTGATGCATGAGCTCTCTAATAAGAAATCTGCAGCGTCAATAAAGCACATGAAAGTCACATGAATTCATTTTTCTTGTCAACAACAAACCTGTTACAGCAGCTCCCACAGAATACTCCCATTATAACCCAAGAATGGAGCTGGCAGCACGTTTCTACTCTGTTGTACTGACACTAGTGGGGAAATGTAACTTTTAGCTCTCTGTACTCAGTGATGCGTGACGCTGTGCAGCTCCTGTTAACCCTCAGCTACAGTCTGCACACTGAGCTAACACTCTGTGCTGAAAATCGTTGCCTAACCTGAGAAACTGTTACAAAAGGATTTGTCTCGCTGCAGCATGGCTCTTGACCTCTTTATTTTCATTTTCACCTGGACTGGCTTGTGTGTCTTTGCTTCCAGAATGAAAACCCCATCGATCCAGAGGAGGACATGGAACTGACTCTAGAGGGAGCAGACTTTCCTTCAAACCCACACATTTCATGCTCTCTCAACTCCTCTCATAATACTGGCTACTACCGCCTCCACCAAGGAGGAGAAGGCAGGTCATCCTTTCCTTTAGGAGGAGCAGGGGGAGGCAGAGACGGTGAGGTGGAAGATGAAGAGGATGAAGAAGGAGAGGACGGCGAGCGAGGAGAGAAGGACGACAAAGAGCCACCGGTCCCCCTCCCTCCTCTGCTGAACTTGGCACCTCTGCTGTCCAACAGCCAGGAGCTGGACAGCGGGGTGGGTCGGACAGATGACAGCACCCGCTATGAGGATACATCTGAACATGACCTGCTGGGTGATCAAACCAGTGCCTGTAACACCAACACCACCAACACACCAGGCAGCACCAGGAAGTTCAGACCTGGACCCAGCCCCAGGTACCAGAGAAAGAAAGTTTATTCAAATTATTAGGAAAAAAATGACAAACTCACAAGCTACAATTTGACTTTAAGTGTTTTTCTGCCATGCTCATATTTCTGTACCCAGGCCAAGTCCTAGACCTAGTCCTGGCCTCGGTCCCAGCCCTGGGCATGGTCGAGGAGACGTCACCCCTCCTTTCCTCCACCTGCGCGATCTCCAGCTCAGCTCTGACTCTCTCCCAGGTCTGGACTGGGGAGCTGGAGGAGGAACAGCAGCAGCAGCGTACAGTCCTCACCACCATCACCACCATAAGGTATACTAAGTTCAAATCCTATTAGGTGATCATGTTGTTGACTTATTGTCAATAAATAAAAAGCTCCAAACCTGGTACTATCCACTTTGTCTGAAAACAGTCACATACATCAGCACAACTGTGCAGCCACAGATGGTTTGTCTTACCCTGGAGACCACGATCATTTGTCAGGTGTTTGTAAAATACTTCTGCAGGAAAGAATGGGCTTGAAACTGAGTACCACTGACATGGATCAGAGTACTCTGATGGACTCCTGCACTGTTGGCTTTGGGATTTCTATGGTGCATTATGAAATGAGCAGCATGGAGGTACAGCTGCCTTACAGCAAGGACGTCCTGGGTTCAAATCCAGTCTGTGTGTTGTTTCCAACAGTGCAAAGTCATTTTTGGGTTTAGGTTAACTAGTTTCATTTTAAACTGACTGTATGTGTCAAGAATGTGGGTAAAATGTGAGTGTGAATGGCTGACTACTCTGTGACAGACTGGTAACCTGTCCAGGATGTGCTCTCACTCTATGGTAGCTGGGCCCCAAGTTGTATAAGCGGAAGAAAACAGATTTATAAAAACTGCAGAATAATAAAACGTTTCTTTAAGATGTCCCTAATAATGCAGGCAGATTCTCTGTGGGATGTACTGCATGCTCAGCTGTGACGCTGCACCAGGAAACCCTCAAAGCTGTTATCTGAAGTGGTACTCTTGAGTTGTTTCATAGCAACAAGCCATGGGACCAACACTTCCACTGAAATGGGAATGCAAAAGCAAACACCTACCAGTGCTTGTCAGATATAATGGTACTCTGTTACCAACCATAATGCAGCTATGAAGGGAATTCTATCTGTCATGTCAGAAACATCTGAAGCATTTCTCTGACATTTAAGTTGTGAAGCAGCTGACAAACTACATGTAACACATCTCACCAACATTTCCAGAGATCTGTCATTGGATACACTATTGATTTAGTATTTAAAAACATACTAATAAATGTTTCTGGTAGATTATTTTGCACTGAAAGGACCCAAACCCAGACTTTGTATTTTGGTTATCCTCAGAAAATATGAAATCATTATTCATATTTATCATGAATAAAAAAGCTGATTGTCAGTACATGTATTTGTGGTTACACACCATCATAGTTAATGAGCTCTATCTGATGTTACACCTCATGTCCAACCTGCAGCATTACCACCACCATCACCAGCCTCTGACAATGACCATGATGATGCCGGGCCTGACGGAGGAAGAGTGCCAGCGTTACCAAGAGCTGTTAGAGATCAAATATCAGTATGAGAGACATTTGGAAAGACGCCGGAGAGAGCTGGAAAAGGAAACCACTGAAGCAGAAGTTAAAGGCCGAGAGGAGGGGGACGAGGCAGCAGAGGAAGCTGAAGGCACAGCTTCTGAATCGGTAGTGGACGTGAACAGCAAAGAGATGCCAAGTGAGCACGAGTTGGCGTTGATCGAGGAGGAGCTGCGCCACCTGGAGTTTAAGTGCCGCAACATTCTCCGAGCGCAAAAGATGCAGCAGCTCAGGGAGAGATGTCTGAAAGCCTGGATGATGGAGGAGGAGACGGTGGCAGGTGGAGCGGGCCGACCAGGACCCTCTGAAGGAGGTAACAACCAGCACCAGGGTAGGAAACATATAACATCCGGACGTCTTTAGGAAACATGTGAATTATGACACAGAATTATACTAGGAAAAAAACTGTGATCATGAAGCCATCATTTATGTATCCAGTTTACTTTGGTGTCATTAGACAAAGCAAAGCAGTTTGGATTTTTAACAGTTCATTTATTTCTATTTCTGAACTTATAGATTTGCATAACGAGGATAATGACGATCCTCATCACCACGAGTTGTCAGCCATCAACGAACTCCCGGAGCGCGAGCGATCGGATGACAAAGACAGCACCAGTGCCTACAACACCGGAGGGGAAAGCTGCCGGAGCACGCCATTGGTCAGCACCGAGCAGATCCCGCCTCTTCAGGAGGATGAAGATGAAGGAGGCAGACGCATGACCTCTCCACCTCCGCTCCTCCCCCTCAGTCGCCTCCCCCCTCTAAACTCCCCCCTCACGCCTCAACGTCACAGGAGGGACCGAGACAGAGAGCGGCGTCACTCAAACCTCAGCTGCTCCTTCTCCCCGAGCGCCTACAGGAAGTACGAAACCTCCAATGGAAACTTTGCAAACGGCTCAAGCTCCACCCCCTCTACGCCTTCAAAGTTCAGGTGTTGGTTTTGCTGCAATGAGCGTTCTTTCTATTTTCATATGCATATTGACCTTTGTGATATGTTTTAATAATAGTGGATATTTTGATGTATTTCGCCTTCATCAGGTCTCTGACCAGAGAAACGGGGTCAGCTTCTAGGAGGGGTATGGCTGATGGAGGGCGGAGCTCCAGAGCAGGTATAATCTTTCTCTGTAAGCATATCGGGGTCATTTTAAGAGCCTTTCCACAGGTTTATAATGAAGAAACAAGCATATGAGCTAAAGAACACTTTCCTTTAAACTGATGTTTGTGGGTAACGTCTAAAACTTCATTCTGGTTTTTGATGATCATTTCTATCACTTCTATGACTGCAGGTGGAGCCCCCTACAGGCCTGAAGGTGGAAGTGCAGAGTCGAGCCCCTATTTCACCCGGAGGCAGCACAGACACAGCAAACCGTTAGAACGCTATCAGAGCTGCATGACCCTGCCCTCCGAGGGTCTGGTGGACCCCCTGGACCGAGTGAGAGACAGCGGCAGGGCAGACGGGGAGGAGAGGGGGGTAGCCACAGGCAGCAGTGGACCAGCAAGCCCCAGGAGTGTGAACAGCGCCCCCTGTGGCCTGGAGGACCACCGTGCAGGTGCCTCACGGTTAGGACTGGCCTTACCTCTTGGACTGACTCACTCATCACCAAACGCGTCTCCACAGCGCATGGAGTGGAAGGTAAACGGTGCAATAACACTGAAGGGAAAAGAATAAACTGGTGGAGTAGCTGCAAAATGACCAGTCCAGCATATCAAGGGACTCATCACAGGTTCCTCTCCTACAAGGCTGGACATCATTTGATGTCTGAGAAAACCCTCTGGCCTTAATAACAACTACAAGATTGTTGTTTTTGATTATGATCACCAGGAACGAGATTAATTATTTCCCTGCTGTGTTTTTATTCTTTTTGGTGGTTTCTTTTTTCCCTCTCAGCAGGTGATCAAGCAGGTTGTCAGTGTCTGTTCTCTCTCCATCCTTCTTCTCCTCTATTTTTCTTTTGCTCTCCTTCTGTTAACTCTCTTCCCAACCTCTCCTCCCCCTGTCTTCTCTGTTCTAATTGTAATAAGTCCAAATGAAAACAATAAAAATAAATAATAACAATAATAACAAAGGTCAAATAAAATATGTCAGTCAAGTGGACCAGTATAGCAAAAGCTGTAACGGTCTACTTGATTGCTACAGTGCTGGACGGGACATTCAAAAAAATTTAAAAAAGAAATTAGTTGTTCATCAAAATGATACAGAAGCCTCTGTGGCCCAGTTTAACATGGTTCACTACTGTAAAGCACTGAAAATGATGTCAAGTGATTTACACGATTTTCAGCTAAAGACAACTGGAGCTACGTAATCAATAGAAAATAAACTTTCTACATTCAGCTTAAAGACTCAAGGCTGAAGAAAAGCAAGAGATCCAACAGCAGCATGCAGCAACAGAAACATTTCAAAGAGAGCTGAAACTTCAAATGTCTGGTCTTCCGTTGACATGAGAGGCTAGGTGTTCTTTTCGTGTCCAGGTAAAGATTCGCAGCGATGGGACTCGTTATGTGGCCAAGCGGCCGGTCAGAGATCGTCTGCTGAAGGCCAGAGCCATGAAGATCCGCGAGGAACGCAGCGGCATGACGACAGACGATGACGCTGCCAGTGAAATGAAACAGGTAGAGTGTGCAAACATTAATGACAACATGTCGTTGGACTAAAAGAGCTGAGATTCAAACCAAAAGTATGTCCAGGATGTGCTGTTACTTGTTTTCTGATGAGCAAATCTCGATTCATCGCCACAAACATGCTGTGACATCGTTTTCAACTGTCATTAAATCCTAGTTTACATAAAACAGAAGTACTTTAGCCCTTATATTTTGCTTCTGAGCCCAATAAACATGACAAAGTCTCATTAAACCAGCTTTAAACTGGTTTCTGTCCTCTGCACAGGGTCGATACTGGAGCAAAGAGGAGAGGAAGCAGCAGCTGCTGAGAGCTCGAGAGTACAGAAGAAGAAGAGAGTTCATGATGCAGAGCCGCCTGGACTACATGAGAGGAGACAGGTACGGGGCGAAATCTACAACGACACCCCAGAAGTTCAGTCATTATTACAGATGCAAACATAAAAGGTGCCACATTTATCCTCAGAGTAGGAAGTTCATCACTGTCAGAAGTCTTTTCAACTGTCGTCTGTCGGAAGAAATGATGGTGTTGAAATGACACATTTACTTTTGACTAATGTTTAAAACGTTGTGGTGTGCCATCAGTCAAACAGCCATTGTGGTTTTCTGTAAATACAGACACTAAAACGGTGAATTCTTTGTGGGTCAGTGAGCCATTACAGACCCGAGATCTTTGAGATCACCTGTGAAATCCTGTCAGCACAGACCTTTAAAGGGTCAGAGGTCAGGAGAGAAGAGCGGAAACCTCACATACCTTCAAAGTAAATAACCCGTTACGCAAAATAATTATAGAGACACTGGTGCTGCAAATCAGTGTTTTTAAATCACAGGTCTGACTTCATTGGTCCATCTCACAGTGCTCAACTGATGAGTGACGGCAGATTACAGGAGGACACGTAATGAACACGTTTTCAATACTGAATAATTCATATTGTACTATTACACACATACTGATATTACACTGCAGTGCAGCTTTTTGATTTTATATGTAGCTTTAAATGTTGCGTAACTTTGTTATGCGCTGAAATGTCGTATCTGTGGCTCCGACCCTCCGACGAGTTCCTCAGGATTCCCTTCAAACAGTAACTTCATGTGTGCAGTTGTATGAAAAGAAAGAAGTTTGAGGTGTCTGCATGTTGAGTTTTTTTTTACATTTCATTTTAACAGCTTGAAATATTTGAAGCAACTGTTTATGTCCACCAGGGGGCAGAATACATCCTACTGGTGAGAGCCACAGGACTCAATCGTGCAGTACACAAGTGGCTTAAAAAAGTGTTTACACAAAAACAAAATAGAGAAAAAGAAGGAAAATGACACATTTACTTCATTACGTGAAGTTCGTGAAAGCACTGATCACAGTCTTTTTATTTTCAGGGATCTTTTGTCATCAACAGGGTGCGCTGAAGAGCCCCATTTATCCCAGAGCCTCCAGTTTAATGTGCAGCATAACTCCCCCAGCAGCAACATCCTGCAGCTGAGCCAGAAGAAAATCACAAAGAGGAGGAATCGTCGCATTCTCGACAACTGGATCACCATCCAGGAGCTGCTGGCTCACGGCTCGAGGTCACCGGATGGAAAGAAAATTTACAACCCTCTGCTGTCTGTCACTACTGTGTGACCTCAACAAGGAGACCATGGAAACACACAGTGTGGACCTAGAAGCTCAACGCTCTTTCTTTGTGGAGCTAAAAACATGAACACACCAGAAAGAGAGAAACTTAAAGAATTATAAACAAAGGTGGATAAGAAGAGAAGAGACTTAAAACAGAAGCATTTGGTCTCACAGGAGGAATCCTCCGAGCATGAAAAGGAAAGAACGGAGATGAGTGCAAACAGAGAATGAAGCTAACAATCCTCTTCACTTTCTGACGTCACTTCAAACTCATTAGAGATACACGTGAGGACGCATGAGCCTCGAAAGGAAACAGAAACGTCCTGTTCTGGCCTCGGCTGTGACAGTCTGAAAAAAAGCACAGGTTTGATCTCCTGGTCCTTCCCCAGGTGCACAGTCACATCGCTGTTAATTACAAATTTTTCTGTGAATAGCAAAGTCGTGCTCATGCTAAGACTTTTCCATCAAGAAAAAATGACTATAAGTGTAATTTTAAGAGAAAAAAAGGCCAGAAGAATGGACGTTTATGGAGGATTGAAACTGAAAACTTCACAAATAAAGGAAGGAAAACATGAACGTTTCCTTTCACATTCATTATTTCTTTCTGTCCGTGTTGCTACTGAACATGAAGCAGATTCTAGGTTGGACCCCCTGTCAGCTGCGTGGGGTCCTCATGTTTGCTGTGTCTGTCCTCCACACTGGTCGCAGGTGTGAGAGCTCTCTGTGATAAACTGGCAGCCAGTTCAGGGTGGACGCTGCTTCTGACCCCGTGGACCCTCGAATAGGAACAATATTCCTGCCACCATCAATTGGATGAGCAACATTTATCCCTGTATGATATATGACATGCCTACTTATCTATCCAAACGTATTGTTGTTCATTCAAAACAAATCAGTTTGGAAAGAAATAGGAGTGAAAATTCCAAAACTTTATACATAAAAAATAAATAAAGTCATTCATTTAAAAACAAACTATATGAATGAAATGATTACAAAATGATAAAAAACAAACGCTAAAAACTAAAAATTCATGGATCTGAAAGGTTTTGGTCCTTCATGAACTCCTCGGCGCCACGAGTGAAGCAGCGACAACACCGGCAGGAAGGAAGTGACATCACTGTTTAAGGACAATACATGTTTACTCAAACATTTACTGATACTGAGTAAAATATGATTACAGTACTACTACTAGCTGCTGTGTGATCTGTGCTGTCACGGTTACGTTACACAACACCCGTCTTCTGATCATCATTTGTAAATCGCTTTCTCAGAAAACCTTTTAAAGTTCTAACTTTTGTAAACAGTTTATTCATGTTGACGGTTGATATATGTTAAATGTTGAGTCTCATATTGTTGTTCAAATTTTATAAATTTTATAGATTGTGTTGTTTATCCTGCAGGAGCGAGCTGCAGGTCCGTCGTTGTGCTGGACGCTGTGCAGGTGTTCAACAGAGAATGCATGAAAATGATGTACTGGACTATTATTGGATGTCGTTCTTAAAGTGCTGTAAAGTACATTTTTAGCAGTGAAAGGTGTGAAAGTGTTAAAATAAAATAAAAAGGCAGATGAGAAATAAAACGTGTTTCCTGCTTTCTTTGATATATTTGGACATCTGTTTGTTTTAATTTATCAGCTGACAGAAATGTATTTACTTTAGTAATGAATCTTAAAGAAATAATGCTGCTAAGATTAAGGAAAAAACAGGTAAAAGAGTTTTGCTGACATGTTTGAATTTCTTTTAGTTTCCACCAAGAAGTTAAAGTCTTTGTCACTTTGTCACTGCAGTGTGGTTGTGTAGTAAGAGTCTGCAGCTCCGCATCAGTGTGCTCAGTAATTCATACTGTCTGTGGATATATTACGAAAAATGTTGATCAGCAGGCCGAGTGATGCTCATTTTGGATCTTTTGGGTCCCATCAGAGGTAATAATGCCCATTTAGGGAACAGCTCTTTGTGTTTGACGCGTCCACAGTCAGATCGTCTCTCTTGTGAAACAAAAGCAGGAAGATAGAAGTCAGTGACATCATCAAGATGTGACTAAAAAGACTAGCCTAGCTTTAGCTGCTTTGCCTTTATTGCTTCCTAATTAACACCATGTTCTGTGTGACTGTTAGGAGCCTCAGTTACAGTTAAATATAAATCAAACATACATCTATGAGACACCACGATGAAAGAGACACAAAACAACTCCAGTTTGTTCCACTTTTTATTCTCTGCGGTTGTTTTTGTTAAATTGTTAATGACCCTTTGGGTCTCTGTACCCAGTTGTTCTGGTCCGTTTTCCAGATATGATAATAAAGGATCACAGTCAGCTTTGTGCTTCTATCAAAGGACCTGAATGTGTGCAGGAAGTGAAGAAAATCATATTCTGTCGAACCAAGCGAACACGTTCACAGTGTGGACGTCACACGTCACATCCATCACAATAAAACCTGAAATCCACATTTTGTAGAAGCTGTAAATATTATAAATGCTGTAAAATTCATAACAAAGTAAAGGATGTAGTTTTAGAGCGTGTATAATAGACGCACACCAAATGCTGAACAAGTCAGGAGGAAATTATTGGTCAACAGTGACACCTGCTGGGTGGATGTGGAAGCACTTTTCACATGTTTGAGCTGAGGTGGGTGTTAGAGTTAGTGACGCCCCAAGAGACACTAATACCACATTAAATACTCTAGAAAAAGCATTGAGCTTAATATTCAATTAAATGCAATTTCACTTTAAAGCTTTTTTACATTTTAGCATTGATATTTGATATTTTTCAATCATTTTTCATCTTACACGTTTACACCGTCGTAGACAAGAGCGTGTTAGTCTTTGAGGACAGTGCGCTCCTTCCTGCTTGTATATGAGTCACTTGCTGATTTGTTTTGTCTGAATTTTGTTCAGAATCAGTTTGTTTCTGTCAATGAAATTAGATTTTAAATCAACAGTTTTTATTATACAGGGTAATGAATGACAGCATGTGAAGCCTTATCAAGGTGACTTAAGACTAAAATAATAAAATCAAATAAAAATGAACATAATACTACTAAAAATATCAAAACATGAAACAAAGCTTAGAATCTGGACAAAGTAGTAAAATAAAAATAAACATAGTAAACGTAGAAAAATCACAGTAAGAGAAAACAGTAAGAGAAGGAACGATTTCAGTGTGAGGTAAGAGTCGCATTTCACAGACGGTACACACACCAGTGTGTTTGTTACAGGAGGCCAATCACAAACTCACTATTACTTCATAATGTGCCAACAGGTGCGCTGAAGCTCACGAGGGTGTTGGATCATTTCTGTGGACCAAGTTGTATTTAGGAATATCGCTTCCTCATGTGTCCCAAACACAAACTCAGGTTGACGCCCATGACCTCCACGTAGCTTCTATTTATTTATTCATTTTTATAAGACGTGTGATCATACACGTGGGTATAAAACTTTATAAAACATCCGTTTTTCACCGATAATTGTAATCACTCTTGAATCCCCTTGTGAATCGTGTGAGTGTGTAACAGTGTTGAGTAGGTTGTGTCCTGGTCACTCCTGATTGGATCGAGGCTCTCGTAGATGGCGTCTTCACGTGTGTGAAAAACGGAGTTTTCATGAGGTTCAATCTGAAAATAGAAACAACAGTTTTAAAAGTTTGTTGGGTGAGAATGTTTCCACTGAAATGAAACTTAAACAGACTTTTGTTAGGGTTCCTGGGTCGGTGACCCAGTGTTTTGTGTTTTTGGTTATTTGATTTTGTTATTTCATTATTTTCTAGCTTTGCTTTACGGGTTTTTCTTAAGTTAAGGTCCTCTGGGTGGGGTTTGGTTAGAGTTTTAGTGTTTTGGTTTTCTGTCTGTGTTCCTTTGTTGCTGTCTTCCCTGTCTGCTGTATTTCCACGTCCAGTCAGTGCCTGTCTGCCCTGGTCCCACGTCTCTGTTCCCTTTGTTTTAGTGCTTGCCTGTGAGTCTGTTTATGTTTCCTGTTTTACTTTGAAAGTCCATGTCTGATGTTAATGTGTCTGGTTTTGCTTCCCCCTTGTCTCGTTAGGCCTGATTTGCCCCAGCTGTGTTTCCCTCCTGTTATTCATTCCCTGATTGCTCCCTCTGTGTATTTGAGCCCTGTGTTTCTCTGTGTCCATGTCGTGATCTACTGTTTATTTTGCTGTGTGTTTTGCCAGTCCACCGGTGTAAGTTTATTTTGAGTTTTTCCCAGTTATGTTATGTTTGCGTTCAGCATTAAAGCTGTTTTGGTTTAAGTTTGTCTCTGGAGTCTGCATCTTGGGTCCTATCCCTGTCCGCACACAGCCGTCACCTAACAACTTTAAGTTTCCTTTAACTCCGCCCAGCTCTTCAAATAATCCTGCTTGTGTTGCCATCTAGTGGTGACAACTATGTGTGAGTTACACGGGCGTGGCATCCCTCTGAGATATGATGCGTGGGCAGCACGGTGAGCTGCCAGCTCGGCTTTTCTCTTTGTTCTGTTGCTTTCATGGTGAAACTACCCTTTGCTGTGGTTCTGTTTACTCTGCATTTCATGCAACAGATACATTCACATATGCTTAGAGCTGAGGATGTCATTTCTAATAAACCCCTCTTTGATTCTGCTTTGGGGTAATCTGAATACATTTCTGCATAGATGGAGATACAAATAAATGAAATTCTCACACTCTCTGAGGTTCAGACAGATTTCTTTTAGGTTTGGATGCATTTTATTCCAAGTATCTAAAACAATCTGTGTTACTGCACTGAGCCTGTCAGCTGATGGTTGGAGGGATTTGCTTTCCTGACTTTCCTGCTGGGTTTAGACAGTGATTAGGTTCAAGAAAAAAAAATAGTGCACATTGTCAACAATGACAGTAAAAACAATAAATAAAAATAAACAGTACCTTTGTGTTTCTGTAATCAAGGGTTACTCCTGTGAAACGGAGACAAACAACAGTCTTGATTTGAATTCATAGTAAAGAAATGATAAACATGCAGTTGGAGAACACTCACCATCAACCTTCCTCTGTGTCTTCTTCTTGCAGCGCAGGAACAGAACGGCTGCCAACACCAAAACGACCACAGGAACACATACAACCAGAGGCAGGAAGTGCTCTGAGCGTGTGTCAGAGACCGAGGCTGAGGAAAAGGAGAAGGGATGTGACGAGCCACCAATCAGAAGAAAGATGGCATTAATGGAGAAAGAGCTATAAGACCCCGCTGTTAGAAACAGACTAGGTCCATTTTGAAATGTATTAAGTTTTATTAACTGATTGTGAATTTTGAGTTTGTCATGCAGTCACTTGCTGAACATATCTGCATTTTCTTGGGATTTTTATGCTTTTCAGCACAAAATGTTGTTTTTGAGGAATCACACAGTTTAATCTCTGCACCTTTAAACTCACGTCTTACCTTCGCTGCCTTGAGACAGAGTGGTCGAAGGTGTGGAGCTGGGTGAGCTGGTAGTTGGAGCTGTGAACAACAGTGAAACGTCGTCTGTTAAACGGAGGTGAACTTTTCATTTTTCAAATATCCCAAAACAAGTCAATTTCTGGTAAATGTTAATAATAATCTAATAAAACTCACCAGCTTTAACAATGAGTTTAACCTCCTGTTCTGAATTCCCAAAGAACATGCTCATACCACACTTGTAACGCCCAGCGTCAGACATGCTCAGTGGCTTGATGGTCACAAACAGGACAGGAGAATGCACTGTACCTTCATATTCAATGCTATATTTGCCTTTTTGTGCTTTTTCCTCAGATGTTTCAATAAGAACATTGTCTGGATTGCAATTTTCCTTACAGAAGAACTTCCTGTTTCCAGAGAAAGAAAAGTGGCATCGCACTGTGATGCCTTGTCCTTCAGTTCCTGTTACTGATATAACCTGTGCACTGATGAGCCCACACAACTCTGCTGGGAAGAGAAGAAGCATACTCAAGACACGTAACCTAGTAGTGAAACGTGTGACGATAGCAGAAGCAACAGTGAGCAACGTTCAGCCTTTCACAGTTACTGCTGTCGGATTAGTTAATTTTATTAGTCCTAAAATACATAAAGCTTGATAAGGTCTCTGAGACAAGTTTAGATTGTTTGTAGTTTGTCTTTAGTTCAGTGCAGAGTGCTGGCTGTGTGGTGAGAGAGCTGTAAAACAAGGTCAATTGTGTCATTTCCTTATTCTATAAACAGACACCTGCAAACAGCAGACGCACGTCTCGTACCGGCCAGCTCGCTGTAACAAACTTATGTAGCAAGCAAACAAAAGAATCTTTCATTATGTGCTTCTTTTCAATTTTCTGAAGGTGCGAAAGATTTCTGGAGCCGGAGCGTGCACAGGCGACACCTCGGTGCTGATAGCAGTAACTCGCATCACTACACGCACAGAGGGAGCGGTCCTCACTTTGTTTTTACTCTATTTTAAAGCTTTTGAACTTTACTACTTTAAAAGTTACAAACAAATTTAAAGCAACTGTGAATCTTGATCTCATATGGAACAGAGACTGGACTAAAGTAAAAGAAAGAATAAAAACAAGTGTCTCACCAATCAAATGTGGCCTTGTGCCTAAAACAAGCCCCTTAAAGAATTAAAGATCTCACCATATGTGACGCAGCAGAGCAGAAGAGGCTGGATATTCATTGTTCTGGAGAAAAGTCATCAAACTGACACAGAGCGCTCTGAGCTGTCTTGTCACCTTGCTTGCTTTGCCGTGTTTGATCAGTCAGGAAGTTCTGATTTTGAAAGCTGATACGTCCTTCCTCTTTTCTCCCTTCTTCTGTGTAGCTGTCCTTACAAGATAAATGACGCAACCAATCTCAAAGTTTTGAGATAAATGCTTCTTTATCATTTTATTAATAGTTTCTCTTCCTGTATGTCTTGAACATAGATGAGGATGTGGCTTTGTATTTTTCTTTTAGTTCTCTGTCTTGACCATTATCTAGAGCCGCTGCATCCACTATAAATGTTCAGCTCTGAATGAGACGTTCACCGAACCTTCAGTTTATGTTTCCATTTGTTTCTCCAGGAAACAAATAAGAAATCAGACTTTACATCGACTTTTAAATTAAGTGACGTGTGAATATTTGCAGTAATACTGTAATACGTAAAGCTGGTTCAGTGACCCAAACTTACATCACACTGTAGGAACAATGGTGGCGTGTTTGTGCTGACAGGAAATGGTTGTTTTTTGGACAGTATGAAGATTTAATCATCTACCACGCATGCACACACACATACGCACGCACAGCACACACACACACACACACACTCACACACAGACACAACACACACACACACACACACACACACACACACACACACACACACGCATGCACACACACAAACAAACACTCGCACAAACAGATGCACACGCACACCCCCCCCACCCCATGGTGTCAATCAATCACAGTTAATGGTACATCTTGTACATCTTTAATGGCTATAAACAGACATAGAACTTCTCTTTTCTATAACACCTTCCATACAAGGTAATAAACTTCAAGCCCTCAGGGTCTCTGGGGCTAATTATTGACTCTGGTCATCTGTTGCCAAGTAGAGTAAAATATAGTGAGACACCAAATGAGTTAAGGCCTCAGGCCTGACACATTCCTAGATTATATGATGTATTGTAAGCATGCATTGCAGTTATCCTTCTATGTTCTAGTTTCCCTCAGCATGGATCACCTGGACAGTCACGCCAGTGAAGCTTAAGACCCTTAATGAACCGAACATCAACTCAAAATAAGCACAGATATGCAATGTGTATAAAATACTTCTAACCGTACTTGTAATAAAGGTTAACATAATGGAATTAACAACTGTAATGCAGTATCAATACTGTGAGAAATATTATTACATGAAATAATGCTGTAAAGAATGTTATTAATGCAGTTATAATGATGCAGATTATATGGCAGCAATATAAGAATTTCTGTATCTCCACACACAGACACACAACACACACACACACACACAGACACACACAGCACACACACACGCACAGACACACACACACACACACACACACACACACACACACACACACACACACACACACACACACACACACACACAGAGAAAACACCCATAAAATAAAAAAATTAGGGCCAAGTGAAAGAGGAAGTAAACATCAGGTTTCAACATGTGTTTGACGTTTTCTCCAACAAGATCAAATTCAAAAGAATTTAATCATGAGTATAATCATAATAACATAAATGTATAAATTGTTTTTGTTTGTTTCCGTACACCCATGTAGCATTTTGCAACCTACCACACATTATGCTTGATTTATTAAAATGTTCAGTGATCATAGAGGCAGCATTACCTAAACAACAATATGTATTGACCTGGATCAGGATCAGTTCTATAAGTGGTTTTGGTCTTTCCTCCTCCACCACGGAGGCCGTGGAGACTGTCAGAAAACGACTACAAGAAGACAGCTCCTTGGACGACAGGACCAACTTCACACCCGATCAGATCTGCACACTGTTAGACCTTTATTAACTTTCACAGCTTAAAGTCCACCTGACAGCGACACAGAGTCACAGTTTCACTCCAGGATTCTCCAAACCTGCATCCGATTGTTCAGACTCCTCCTTACCTCTGTGTGTGTGTGTGTGTGTGTGTGTGTGTGTGTGTGTGTGTGTGCGTGTGTGTGTGTGTGTGTGTGTGTGCATAAGTTCATGACCCCATCACTAAACAGTTTCACTATGAGTTTTTTGTGTCATTCACTAGTTTCGGTTCTTATTCTTAGTCCCTGTGTCAGAGTTAAAGAGAGTTTGACCTCAGTCATCCTGCAGTGACGCTCTGTAACCCTGCTGCTGAAGCAGAAGTAGTGTTCATTCAGTCAGTGTCCACAATCCAATGAAAACCATAGATCAAGCGATTTCCCCGTTTGCACATATGAATGTACCTGCTTGTATTAGTAGAAACGGTGGTGACAAAAAATGAAACTTGTGTAACTACAAGCCTACTCTGGCCTGTCCAAGATGGAAAAGAAATGCCTTAAACAGGTATGATGCTGTGTAATTCAGTGACATCGTTGCCCTCATGCAAAATTAGAATGCAAAATATTTTCCTTGCAGGAAGTGGATGGAAGTCAAATAAAAACACGTCATGCATGTTTGACTGATTACTGTTCAACATCTTGAACACAAAATTTGCATCACAGGGGCATCAAAAGTATGTAAAACTGTGTCCTCAGATTCCCAGAACACGGGATGAAAGCAACTTTAACACTTTGACTGGAAAAACTGAAGAAATGTGCATAAACACTAAATAGATATCCTTAGAATACATTTATTCTGAGTGTATTTTGACTTTATTTTGTTTAGGTTGAAGATTTTCTTTTATTGTGTTTTTATTTTTTGCTCGTTTATATTCTTAGATGTCTCGTCACCTTTTGCAAATAACTGAGATGCTCAAAACTACAAAAGTCAACTGGAACAACTGCATTAGGCCAGATCTTAGGGATATTGACACTGATGCTAAAATCCTCAAAGATCTTTTTGAGGAAGAAAATCTCCCTGAAGTCTCACTACAAGCTAAAAGGCCAGAAGAGACAGCTGCTGCAAGTCGTGCAATACTAGGAATGGAGGAATGCAAAGCTAACACATTTGTTTGATAAGCTTAAAGAGTTTCCTTCCTGTTTTATGACAAAAATGAAAACTGGTATCAAAGGTCATCTATTGTGAAATAGAATAGAAAGGACTACTGTGAATGAGCCGCTCTTAGGAGCTCAGTGAATTCCATCATAGGATGCCACCAGTCGTGAAATTTCCTCGCTACTAAATTTTCAACAGTCAGTTGTTGGTGGTATTATAACACAGTGGTGGTGCCAAACTTCAGAGCCTTCAGATTAGTGAGAACGATGTGTAGAGAGCTTCATGAAATTGGTTTCCATGGTGGAGCAGCTGCAACCAAGCTTTACTTCACCAAACCCGGTTTAAAGCGTCTGATGCAAAGATGTAAAGCATGCCACCACTGCCCAGGGTTAAAGTCTTCTCTGGGTCAAGGGGCTGGCTTTACATTTCTGCAAGAGTCCCTAAAACAAAGTTCCACAGAAACTTCCAGTGCTACTTACTGATGGAAATCCTTATTTCCAGGAAGCAGCAAAGAAGCTGCAAAATACTGCAAAAAATATGTAATGTTTTATAACAGCTGAAGAAGGCAAAGTAATAGTTTACATCAGAACACACACCAACACACACCATGATCAACCTGAGTGAACAGAGGCAGATGAGACTTTTGCCTCTTTTCTGGGTTTGTACTTCCTCCATCAAACTGCATCAATGCAAGGATGTTTCTATTGCCTGAACTGCTTTCTAAGAAGTTAGAAGACAAGAGAAAAGAACAAGAATCGTGGATGATCAAACTGTCTTTGTGTTCCCCTGCTTTGGTTTTTGACCTTCTTCCACTGTCTGTTGTGAATGAAGCTCAAAGTTAGTCGTCTAAGGAGCTTGGAAAGAAAAGCGTCTGGACTTCTTTAAGTTGCTTGAAGACGTTTCACCTCTCATCCGAGGAGCTTCTTCAGTTCTAGGGTCCAATGGTGGAGAGACCCAGATTTAAGCCCGTGGGAGTGGGAGGGACACTGGACCTCCTAATGATCCTCCTTAGACTACGATGACCTGGATGACTGAGAACCTTCACAGACATGGTAAGTTTTGCCTTTATTTTTTGTGTCATCCTTTTTAAACCACAGCCAATGCAAATGAATAACAAGCTACACAAAAACACTGGATCACTTCTTTATTATCTCCTCAAACAGTTGTATAAGCATCAATATTCTCACACATAATCTTTATTTAAAAGTTGAGTAAAGCATAAAACAGAAATGCAGCTGATTCAGTCTGATTCAAAGAGCATCTAATGTTTGCACAGACAGGCCGTTTCCATTGCTTAATCACTTCTGCTCACTTTGTTGCAACAATCAGTCACGACTTTAAAATAAAGACTTTGGTTATTTGAAAAGATACGTAAAGTTGAATATTCGAAATCAATAACTCAAGCAAAAAGAAAACAGCAAAAGAAAAAAATACATTAAATGATGACCTACCACCACATTTTCATCAAAGCGGTCTGAGCTGACAGATGCTGCAAAAAATATTATAATTACAGAGCGTCCTATCCCCAAATCCCCAACAAACCTGCTGTAGCTTCAAGTCCAAGTGTTAAAAGGTATGACTAACATCTGAAACTAGGTAAAGCCTTACTCAGTGACAGTAATCACAACAATCTTTATAGTTTTCTATTCATAAAGTTCTCTGAAATAAGATTTGTATGATTTGCTTTATTTGAGTTTTTCACACAAAGTACAGAATAATATGATAACATTTCACAATAGAGCCTGAAACTTTCAGACGATGCTCTTCTTCTTCGTTTCCTCGTCATCCTTTTGGAAGACCGATCCATCGGACTGCTTCCTCCAGCTCAGTTTGATGTCTCCCTGTACTCCCTGCTCCTTCAGCTTCTGTTTGATCTGAGACACACAAAAAAGTACTTTCTTGAATAACACTCACTCAGTCCATCACTCAGTCTTTCATGGTCAGCTTAATCCTATAGCTCATGCTTAGTTTTTAATGAAAAACGACCAACATTGTCATTTGACTTCGGCAGTCCAGTGTTATGAAATCCAGAGGAAAAGTAGTTTAATAAAGTTCAAGAGATTAGAGGTGAAAGATATAAAACATGACCTAAAGTTTCATCACATTAAAAAAATCCCTTATTTCTGCTTTTTGTTGTGGCTTTCAGACTCTGGTTCCTATTTTTAGATCGCTCTGTGAAAGTGTTGTACTGACCAATTTTCATAACTGGGACTACAACAAACTACAAACCAGAGACCAAACAGGATCATGGTCCTGACCCGAGGCATCACCTTTTGGCTTGAACACTGTGGACTGTTGATTTTCACAGTACTCGAAGGATTACTCACCACAGCTTCATCTGCCAGGATGAAACAGACTGAGACTCATGGCTCTTACATATAGTCTAACTGAGAACTCAAAACCTGACTCAGCCTAAGGTACATGAGCTGAAGGAGCCAAGGACGGAACCAGGGTCCTTCCTTAGAATTAGATTAGATTCAAATGCAGGAATCATCACATTGCTTTAAGCTTATATTCAGAAAAGTATATTGTTACAGTTTTGTGTTGACGCAGATACAGTTGGTTAGCATTAGTATGTGTCTGTACACATCACCAGTACAGACCTGTGTTAGACTCAGTGAGATCTTGGACAGACTCTTTGTTGTTTATTAATAAGTACACCTTAAAATGAGTCATGACTTGCCTGGTTCAGCATGGCTTCCATCACATCAGGGTGGGTCAGATCAGGACTGGAGTTTATCAGATTCACTCTCACCACTTGCTTGTAAACAGGCGCTTTGCAATAACCAAGAAGAAAAATAGTTACATAGTTACTGCTGCATAAGAAACAGGAACAACTGCTTACAATGAAACAAATCTGAGTGCAATTTCTGCAATGCAGGAAATGTCAAATAACGTATGACCCAAGAGTCTGTGTACAACAATGGTAGAGCTTCCCTTTACAGAACGGGGCACAAAGCAAACCATTATGATTATCTGCTCATTGATTGGGTTAACAGAACTTTTAATTGTGTCAGATTACTAATCATGTCATACATCTTAAGCTAAAAACGTCTTTGTTTATATGAATGCGTTTTGTAAATTGTGGCTGACAGCAGCAGGATCAGAGGCCAGACTTTCTGAAACATGGCTTACCAATGTAGCAAACAAATTCTTTCATGGAGTCACAGGTCCAGTCCTCCCATTTTGCATTTAGTAAAAAGTTTGCTGCCACACAAGACTCGTGTCCCATCAGATTGTTAGGTTCAATAACTGTCCAATATCTTAATGAGGAGTTACTTCCATTTGTCCACTTCCAGGAATCTCTGAAAAGGCCGATCCACACCTTCACCCCTGCAGGTACCACCTCATCTATCTTCTGGTTCTCTGTCATGTTCCTCACACTGGCCAGGTCTGTGTAACGAAGTCTGCAGTAGCTCTGGGCCTCCGTCCACGTCATGAGATTGTCAATGTAGACAAATGTCATAGTCGACCCTGAAAACAGACCATACTCGAGTGCTGTGTACAACCGTAAATGCATTTTTAAGTGTGAAGAGTCAGGCCGTTGTTGAAACGTCAATAAAAGTTCGGCAACAAAAATTAAAACTATGAGCTGCTTTGTTGAAAATCCTCACCTCTGTTATCAGAGCAGACGAATCTGTAGAAACTCTCACAAGGATAATCAAACCACAGTCCATCAAGCATCAGTACGCAGAATTCTTTACTCATTACGTTGTCTGGTTGCCAAGGTGACCAGTTTCTGAACTCAGCCTCACTGGTTTCTGACATTGACCACCTCCAGCCATTGATGTCATCATACAGCCCGATCCAGGCTCGCTGAAAGCACCCGCATGTTTGTTTCATTAGATATAATATCTATGAGTTAGGCTGTCAGATTGTCAGTAAGAAACTCGGTCTCAGGGCAGAACATCTCATTTTGGTATTTCATTACAAAATTGTGTAACTGAGTTTTTAAAAATTACTGAGCTTTTATCAGATTCACTAAAATAATTATTTGCTTGTAAATTTTAAATTCTTTGATGTGTACAAGCAAAAAAGATTTAAGCAGACGGATCCTAACCCTAACCCTGGATGGGATGCTACTGACCTAGCGGTTGTCAGCTATGTCTCCCTGCTTCTCTCCACAGCTGCCTGCTTCCACCTGAGTCTGGTCACCTTTGTCTGACCCACTCTCTCACACGTTCACTTATTATTCTGATTTTATCTGACTACACTTCGTGATATATTTATCTTTCAATCACATTTATCAGGCATTAACATTGTTTTTTATGGAGTCAGAATTAAGTCTTCAGCAGTTCTGGGTATAAGTGGTCACAACCTTTTTTTCCTTTTTACACCACACGTCCCAAATTCATTAGTTGATAAATAATAATTTTTTAGTAAACATCATGGAGTATGAGATGGTGGGGTTTTATTTTAGCAGATTTATTTTACACAATTCTTAAAACAGCAGTGAATCTAGTGTCAATGACTGCAGACGGAGAGGATGTTACATGTAAAACATAACCACACTGAAACAGAAAGCAGTGAAAATCTACTGAAATAATAAAAAAATCAATATAGTTCAGTATGTTTAAAGTTAAATAATTAGTTGGCAAGTTTCCGGAAGAAAAAAAATTGAGTTTACGTAGGCGTTCTCCATGATGCTCATTTTGCTCACGTCCACCATGTCGTTCAGCGTCTGCACATCCTGCATGTCGTCTACAGCAGCCAGGTCTGTGTATTTGTCCCTGCAGTAACTCAGCGCTTCAGTCCAGTTCTTCAGCTCATAAACAAACTGGTAGTAATGTTTGGAGGTGACGGCACAGAGCCCTGTAAAAACAGCATATAAGCAAGTATTTGGATTAAATGTGGTCTTAACATTTTAGCTTCACTGTTACATTACATTTCTCATGTGGCTTTATTATCATTTCAGCCGTGTGCAGTGGTACAGTACACAGTGAAACGAGACAACGTTCCTCCAAGACAATCACAGTCAACACAGGACCACATAAAGTGCAAAAAACAGTGCAACACCAGACAGAACACAACGATACAGACACAAGATGGTGTAACAATGACAGTGGGTTATGCAAAAAGTAAGTATAATAATAATAATGTAAAAATATTACATTTAATAGAAAATTAGAAGAATCAGACAACTTGCCTGTTGCGGCTATGATGAACAGAACTTTCTCCATCCCTGGATGTTTCGTGCTTTGTCCTTTAGTCTGTTGATATTCAGCAGCTGAAATGACTTTTTTATCTTTGTCTCCATGCAAAATGAATATGCAAGGTATTTCCAAGAGGACTATGAATACATGAAAGCTATGAATGTATGAGTGTGTGCAGAGGTCAATTCAAAACAAGTCAAATCATTTTCATTTACATTCATTATTTTGCATGAGGGGGGAAACAAATCCGCCTCTAAACTTTTCAACTAGAAACACTTTTATGACACTTCATCAAAATATGATGTTCATAGTCACTCTTACATGTACTGACATTTTATTTGACCACTCCACTCCACTACACACACACACACACACACACACACACAC